GGAGTGCGGCGCCGCTTCCCAGGCAGCGGCCGGCGCCGCCGACAACGAGGCCGTTTGCGGCGGCGCCGGGCGAGATCCGCTTTATTAAGGGTACCTGGCAGCGCTTAACGGCCGCCAAATGACAGATTCAGCAGCGGCGAAGAGGCGTGCGGCGATGAATTCGCCATTACCAGGTGCCGGTTATTGACAAGTGCATGCGCGATGGTGCAGCGCCGCGCCACCCTGCCGAGCGAATTAATTTACATACAGCCTTCACATAGTTAATGGACAATAATGGCCTCGTAAATCCGTGAGAGCCGTTCGTTTCCTGGCCGAGGCAACATAAAATGTTTGTGCCCTGGGCCCAGCGCCGGGCGCCGTTAATTCCAGCCAGTCATCTCCGAGGTGGGCTGGCTGGCAGTCAGTGCCAGGGCGCCGCGCTAACGAAGAGGCCGTGCCGCGCGCCGGAGCCCGCCAGGGGCCGGCGCCGCCGCCAGGCCGCTGGCCGTCGGCCGCCGCTCCGGGCTGTGCGGCAACGGTGTGTGTTTAGCGCGCGTGGCTGTGCAACGGTCGGCTGCAGGACCGGCCGGCGGCCCCCTGCCGGGCGGTCGGCCCAACAGAGCGGCGCCCCGGCACGCCGGCGCTCTCGGGGGGTGGCGGCGGTCAGTGTCGTCTGCAGGGCCGCATGTGGAGTCGGGGCGCCGCGTCCCCTCCACCAGCCGTGCCGCTGGCTCGCGCGGACGCGGCAGGCGCGCAGCGAGTTCAAACCGGTGTTGTCCGCGCCGTTTAATCAGTCGTGCACGGCTCGTTAATTAAGAATCCTCCCATTCGGTGTCGGCCGACTTTTTGGGTCGAGGTGTGCCCTTTAACGGTCGACACCGACGGGCGCATGGAACGATTATGTAAATGTCGGCGGCGGCGCGGCGGCCGGCGGTCGGCGCTGTGAATTGGCAGCCGCCGCCGCCGCCGCCGACGCCGTCGTCCGCTCGACCGCCTCCCCCGGGACGACTGATGGTCGCCGAGAATAATTGAGCCACTATCAGGCTCGCTGGGCATTTAAATGGAAATGAATTCGCCGGATAACAGAGAAAATCTAGCCCAAAACGGCGCTGCTGTCGTCTCAATTGGCGGCGTCAAATTGTTGAAGACGCGCCGCGCTCGTGTGCGTTCAGCGCGCATTATTGTCCCCCGGCTTGCGCCCGGTCAGCATCGTAAGCTGCGGATGTTATAAAAGTTGCGTTAGCGCGAATCGCGTGATTTATTCTCGCCATTACTGCTGTGCCGAATTGAAACGTCGGTGTCCGAGCTGTCCTCCTCCCTTCCAATTTGTCCTCGTCGTATTGTGGTTGTCACAGCACATAAAGATAGCGGGGGATAAAAAATGGCAGCACAAATCAAGGGGAGCTATGGGGGATTAATTATTGATTTTCCGTCGCGCAGGGCCGATAGCCGTCGCCGACAATGGGGGTTGATTTGCAGAGATGAGACCGTGTTTATACGAACGATCGATGCAAATTAGCTTTGTCCGAGCGGCTGGGGCGCGGCGGCGGCGACGGCGGGGCGGCGGCGAGGTTCGTCTCCGCGCCGCCCGGCTCTGTTTGCCTCGGCGTGAGGAGGCGCCGGCCGCGCCGTCGCTACACGGCCCGGCCCTGTTTGCCGGCGCTGTGTGCTCTACAAACGGCGGCGATCAGCGGCGGCTAACGTTACCGGACCGCGGCGACCACTTAGATTGGGACAACAGCGCCGGGATCGCCGCCGACGCCGTGCCGCCGCTGTTTGAGCTACTGATTCAGCTGTTTGGCCAGCGGCCGCTTGAAAGCCGCCTGAGTAAATTACGGGTAATTAAAAGTCATTGTTTAGCGGTCGGCCGGGCGAGCCAGGTGGCGGCTGCGGATGACATGAGCTTCTGCCGGGCGTCTGTGGGCTTGGCCGGCGCCCGGCGCAAACAGATTGATGGATCACGGCCGGTCGCGCCGCCAGGTGAGAGCGGGTCGCGCGCTCCGACAGAGATGTCGGCGCGCGCCGGAATGGGCGCGCCGCCGCTGAATCCATCACAGCTGTCGCTGTCGGCGCTGACGGCGGCCGCCCGCCCGCTAAATCATCGCCGCCGCCGCCGCCGCCGCCGCATGGCACCGCGCGCGCTCACACCGGAGGGGGGGGAGGGGGGGGGGGGGTCATGAGCGGTCATGGAACGCTCGTCGGCTGGTCGGCCAGCTGCTCCTCACTGGGTGGCTCAATCAGATGCCGTTGAGCGTGAACACGTGGAGGGGACGTTCGTCTCGGGTTTGTTTCTTCTCATTGCCGCCGTGTGCAGATACACGTCACCCCTACCTTGCCTAGTTTTGAATTACTCAAGGTCTCGCGCCGTTCGGTTTCTTGGCTCGGAGCCAAGACCCATATGCCGTCGCCTCTCCTGTTTGCAATGTTCTCCTCCGTCGGTCCGGCGCCGACTCCGAAATCTGATCCGCTTCGAGCACCTCTGGAGCTGGGGTCGGTCAATATTTTGTAAGAAAGTGTTGAGTTTCTGTTATTTCGGCGCCTCTCGGCCGCTGTTGACCGGCTCTGTTTGGCTGGCCGCCGCCCTGTTGTCCGAGGTGCTCGGTGTCCACTCGGCGTCCAACCGCGCCCCGATCGCCACCCACAGCCGCGCCAGCATCGCCTCTCGCTGTCCACTCTGCGCCGAGATCGCCTCTCAGCGCCAGGCTGCGCCGAGATGGCCTCTGAGCCGCGGCGTGAACACAACGTGGTTCCGAGACGCACTAGGACGGCGTGCTACTGTCCGAACTGCGCCAAAATCGCCGTCTGCCGTCCACCGTGCGCTGGGACAGTCTCTGAGTCGCGCCTGGACCGAGTCTCTGACCCCTCTCCGCGCCAAGATCCTCACCCCATGTCCACTCAGCGGCGGGAGGCCGACCGGCGCCGGCCTGCCTCCCCAGCGACCCATTACGTCCAGTCGACCCAATCGCCGAATCTAGGGGGCAATTGGCGAAATTCCCGGCGACATATTGCACTCGGGGGGCGATGATATCGGGCAGGCGGCGACGGCGCGCGCCGCCGCCGCCGCCGCCGGCGCCGCGGCTCTAACGGCAGATTAAAGATGACCGGTGTCCTGGCGACGGGTCGTAAAGCGGCCCTATCGGCGCTCATCCGGCCGCTGCGCCGACGCGCCGACATAAAGATAAACGCAGATACAGCGGTAATAGAGCGCGCGGACGCTGCGCAGCGCTAATGGACGGCGGCGGTGCGCGGGACTCGCAGGGTCGGCGCCGCCGCCGCCGCCGCGCGCGCGGTGTCTTGTTTGGCGCGGCGCGACCACCGATCGATGGGGCGTGGATGCCCGCTGACCCGCCCCGTGCCGAGCAGCGTCGCGTGATCGCGCCCGAGGCGACGAAGACAGAGGTATCAGGGGCGCGTGCGGCGGCGGCGGCAGCTCATTACCGGGCCTGGCGCCGGCCGACACGCCAGCGGCGGCCGGCGCGCCGCCGCGCCGCGACCTATGATAACACGATTGCCTGGGCGGCCGGCATCCGGCACTGGTCGTCACGTGACCGGCGCCGCGGCACGCGCTGACGCGCGGGCTCGCGCTCCTGCACCGGCAGCACACCACTCTGTCAGACGGGCACACTCGGGCGTCAGCTCAGAGCTGCGTTTTTGTGTTCCGTGCCAGGGAGCGGCGCTCCGGCGTCAGGGGCTGACATTTTTGGGCCGGCAGGCGGTACACTTGTGTCAGCGCACGGCAACCGAAATGTTGTGTCAGGGCACGACCGACGACATCGCATTCCGAGGAGCGACGCTGTTGTTTCAGCGGCCATTCGGAGGTCGGAGGTCATCACTCTTTGTGTCACGGGACGCGAGTTATAAGGCGCCCGGCAACGACACACCTATTCGGTAGCCAGCACGCAAGGGGACGTCTCTCCGGCTCCGGGGGACTGGACTGTCGCCGTGGGGCGGTCCCGTATCGACCCCGGACGGCCGCCGCCTGACCGGCTGCTCTAATTGGCGCGCCGGTGTTGCGGCGGCCGCAGAGACGCGCCGTCGACGGCGGCGGCGGCGGCGGCGGCGGCGCTCGCGGCGCCCCTTTCCTCCCCCCTCCCCCCTCCCCGCTGCTGACGCAGCGCACTGGTCAGCCGGCCGACGCCCGTGATTTGAACCAGCGACGAGGTGAAATTGAGCTGAAGTCGGCGTGAGGTGGTTACTGACCGGCGTCGGCGGCGGCGCGCCTCCATTCCGGTCGTCCGGGGAGGGTGACGGAGACCGGCGGCCGGTGGACCGTTGACCCCCAGCCGCGCCCCCGTCCCCACCCCTCCTACCTCCCCTTTGGAAGTGCGATCGCCGCAAACGGTTATAGCGCGCGCGAGCGGTGCATGTCGGTCGGGGGCTGGGCATAACTGGGCGTCGGTGGGCAACAGGAGCTTCTATGCACAACTTTCCAGCCACGTACCACGCGAGTGCCTCCTTATGGTGGCGCCGCAACCACACACCGCAACTATCCAATTTGACCCGACACGGTTCATACCTGATAAACAGGTAATTACTGAATTATGCATCAGAGTTTGCAAAGCTCATCAGAGTTCCAATCCATTAAGCACAGCTTGGACGACGATAACGTTTGGGTGTGGGCAGAGCCGGCGCCCTCTGAAGGCGACCCGACTCAATATCCTACCGAAAAATGCATGCTTCTGGAAGCCACGCCCTGAATGTGTGACGTCAAACAGCCGGCCACCTTCCGAGCCAAGCAACATGTAATCACGTGAAAGTGGTGTCCGGTTCTAGTATGCTAATCGCGCTGGTACAATTCGGTCAAAGGGTCTGATATATGCACTTGACGGCTCCTGCCGTATTGCCTGGAGCTGAATTATTGTTCGACTGTCGGCCCCCTGCATGAGCTATCACGTGCTTTCATGTTCAAAAGCGTTACGTCACCTTGATCTGGGAAACGTTAACTTGGATACGTGGCTTTGACCAAGCCATTGATTTGCCATTCGGCACGAGCACATGTGACATGGGGCGTGTTGTTTCAGCAAACGATCCTGAACTCGATGCACAAGTACCAGCCGCGGTTCCACCTGGTGCGGGCGAACGACATCCTCAAGCTGCCGTACTCAACGTTCAGGACGTACGTCTTCAAAGAAACCCAGTTCATCGGAGTCACCGCCTACCAGAACGAAAAGGTACACGGATCTGTCGAGGCGGCCTATTAATTGTGCGCGCCGAAACGTACTGCACTTGATCTGAGCGGAAACTAACGAACATTAAGTGAACAGTGCTGATTCACCGCAGCCTCATTACGCGGATGACCGTGCCGATATCTCTAACAGATGGTGATCTCATGTGCATAATATGTGTGGATTTAATTTGTAAAGCACCCGAACTTGCACGCCCACCGGATACTTGATTGCCGTTGAGCCTCGAGTACCCCTCGCCGACTGAGCCTGCTGTGTGGAATCGTTCCAAATGCGAGGGTAACTGTAAGTCAGGGGACATAGCGCTGTGTGGCCGCGGCTCTGGATCGAGAGACATGAGCCTCAATGCCCGCTGAAGGAAGCTTTGCCCGTCTTCAGTTTCCTCTAGGCTGATAATTACGTGACGCCGTCAGTGGACTTGTGTATCTTTTTGGCGTCTCTCCTCTCCGTTGTTTGTCTTCCCACCTCCAGCGCACTCGGTGCTCTCGCTGTAGTGCTCGGTGTTCGGATTCAACACGCTCAGTGCTGGGCGGGCCGTCATGCTCACACGGTGGCCCGGCCCGACGCGGCGGTCCGATGGCAGCGACTGTTGCGTGCCTTCAAAGACGCTAAGTCGCCATTAAGCGGCGGCCGCGTGAGCGTCGGCTGAGCCCGCTCGGGCGCGACGCGCAGGGTGCGCCGCAGCGCGCGGCGCCGGCGCCGGCGCGGCGCGGCGCGGCGCCCCGCTCACGCGAGCCGCGCCGCTCATCGGCACCGCGCCGTTTTTGCCCCATCGGCCAGATTAGCATAATTATTTGACTATGACGGACAGCTGCCAGCGCGATCTGGTGTTGCAAAGCGGAACTAAGACAGGTGATCGCCCAGCCAGGCGTTAAAGTCACGAGAGGGAGCGGCCTGCATGGCCGCGTGGCCAGCGGTCAAGCGCCGCGTGGCGGACGTGGCGCGGCGGCGGCGAGGGCGGCGCGTCGGCATTGAAGGCGATAGTGACGGTGATCGCCAGATAGGGCGGCGCGGTTTCCGGTGCGCGGCGCGTCCAGAGGGCCGCGGCGCCGCCTCCGGTGCGTCAGATCGCGGCGATCGCGGCGATCGCGGCGCGCCGGCCTGCGCCCGGCCAGCCGGCCCACCGGCCCCTTCGGTCGGCGCCTGCGTGTCGGTTGGACTTTTCCGGTGGGCGGGTTTCCGGCTCAGTAATTGATCTCGGTGCCGGTGGGTGTTTGCCATTGAGTCGGGCGCCGGCGGCCGGCTCGTCTGGCGCGTCCGAGCGAGCGGCCAGCCGGCGTCTCACACAAACAGGAGGCGGGCGGAGAGACGGCCGGCGCGCCACACACGAACGCCCGTGATGCACGGCAGACGGGCGGCGCGCCGGCGGCGGCGCGGCCCGGGCGGTCCGGCCGACATGGTGCCCCGGCCGCCTGCAGTTGGTCATCACCCGCTCCGGCTGTAGCAGGCGGCGGTGAGATATTTCTCCGCACCAAGTTGTAATTATGCAAATCCTCGCTCCGACTGCCCGACACAGCGTTACAGCTTTATAAATAGCATGCTCCCTGGCGAAAGGGCGCCTCTTTCGCCGCCTCGAATTAAGTGTTAATTCCTGGCGTCACGATAACCGCCGAGGAGTGTGGAGCCTAGGCCGCAAATTACACCCGACCACCGCAAATTTTACATCGCGCTTCCTTCCCCCACACCATGATTACAGTCCGGAGAGAAGATGACGACCCAGCGCCGTTCGCCTCGCTAAATCAATTGTGTAACAAGGCAATTGGTACGCGAAGCGCCGGCCAGCCCGGTAATTCTCACGTGGTACCGCATGCCGTGGAGGCCATTAGCCGGTGCAGTGCTGGCAGCGCCAACCAGGCGCACTGTCGTTAGCAGCCGTGTGCAGGCCGGCTGTCATTGTTCTCGCGAGTCGTTCCTCGGCCGCAGCGCTGCTTCGGAGCCGTGCAAGGCGTCTGATACAGGGAGTGGCGGCGCGATCGGCTTCTCCCGCGGTTGGTCGGCCGGCGTCGGACGCTCTGCGGGGACCGGGCGCGGAGGCGGCCGGTGTCGGACGCTCTGCGGGGACCGGGCGCGGAGGCGGCCGGTGTCGGACGCTCTGCGGGGACCGGGCGCGGAGGCGGCCGGTGTCGGACGCTGTGCTGGGACCGGGCGCGGAGGCGGCCGGTGTCGGACGTCCTACGGGGACCGGGTGCGGAGGCGGCCGGTGTCGGACGCCTTGTGGGGACCGTGCGCGGAGGCGGCCGGTGTCGGACGCCCTGCGCAGAGGCGGCCGGGAGTGGGCGCAGCCGCAGCCGCAGCGGCCTGCTCGGCCGCCCCAGACCGGCACACAGGCGCTCTTGGGCCGGGGCACCGGTCGGCCGCCGGCCCCCAGGCACGGCGCAGTCTCGGCTGGCGGGCAAGGGTCGGCTGCTGCCGTCGCCGTCCGGTCCGGTCCGGCCCGGTCTGGGTCAGCGCTGCAGACCCGGGAGGCGCCGGACCGCCGCGACAAACCCGTTCGTGCGCCGGTCCCGTGTCGCCGTAATCGCGTCGTGTCGCTACACGCCTGCCCATAGCCGGCGCGAGAGATTGGCACTTCCAGAATTACGCGAATTACGCGTTGTCAGCCGGGGGATTACGCGGCCGGCCGAGCGGGACGTCGCACCAGCTTTGAGCGCACCGATCGGGCGGATTAAACTGACATTCAAAGGATTACTTTCATCTTTGATTGCAGAGCAAACAGTATCACCTCGGCGGCTGACATTTCACATCGGCCCTTGAACAGGCGGTTAGGAAGCCGCCGCCTTCAGCTTTTATTTGCATAAATCTGATTAAGACGCGGCCTAATGGTGTCCAAGAATAACGGCCGCGCCATCCGGCGTGATAAAAGAGAATACTTTATGGCGTCGACGGTCCATTGTACACCTTGTTGCGCTATAAACCGGCCCTTAGGTAGCCGCCCGCGACGGCTCATATATTTTTCAGCGTGCGCTGGGGCCGCGCCGGACGCGCCACTGTCGCGCCGCGCCGCTAATGTGTTGTTTTCCCACACGCCGGGCGGCCATACCGGCGGCAGCCGGCGCACGAGCCGACCAGTGCGGCGTCCGGCCGCCGATCGGTCCGCGCCCCCGGCATGGATTAGTCACGAGATACAGTGCCGAACATAGCAGCGCGCCGCGCGCGGTCGTCGGGCGCGACAGTGGCGTGAACAGGGCGCGGCCGTAGCGCTGACGCGCTTTATGGGCCGTCGACACTGGGCGCGTCAGAACGGCCCTGCTGGCATGATCCGGCGCGTTTGACTCGCCTTGTTAGGAGGTGAGGGATCGCAGCCTGGCACGCGAGCCCTGTGGACTCGGCTCAGCCGGCGCGCAGCGGCGCCGCTGGGGGACCGGCCGGCGGGTGGGCGGGGAGAGCGGGTGGCGGGTGGGCGGGGAGACTGCACGGCGGGTGGGCGGGGAGACTGTGCAGCGTCGCTGACCGGTGCAGCCGCCAGCCGGGTCCCGGAACCGCCGCTGGTCACGGAATAGCCCCCCGATCTGGAAAGTCCACCGTTCAAAGACAACAGCCTAGTGGGTACACAACGGTGGCGAGTTTTGCAAGCGTCTTCCAGGGCCTTCTGCGAGCGAACTGCGGCCTGGAATGCCGCCCGTCGTCCCCGCTCGCGCACACCCCACTTACTCCGTCTCCTTCACTTCCAGATAACGCAGCTGAAGATTGACCACAACCCGTTCGCCAAGGGCTTCCGGGACACAGGAGCGGGGAAACGCGAGAAAAAGTGAGTATTTTTTGCCGGCGTACATCCGCTAGCTCGGTGTCGGCACAAAAACCACCGGCCTCAAGTACATCTCGGCGCCCGTCCAGCCGCTATGCGGAGCGCGTCGTTCGCGCGGTTGGAGGGCCCTCGGCGCGCGCTTTTGTCGGCTGCGCGGCCGGGTGTTGGATAACGCGGCGGCGGCGCGAGTGCTAATGGTCGGCGGCGCGGTTACATAGTGTCGCAGAGAAAGGGGTGTGATCACGGCCGAGCGGGCCGCCTGAATCGGCACAATGCCGCCGTTTGGATACGCCGTAATCGGGCCGAGGGGCCCGACTCAAGCGGGCGGAAGGGGTGCGATAGCGGCTGGAGTGGCCGCCGCCGCCGCCGCCGCCGCGCCGGCCCGGCCGAGCCCTGCTTCCGGGCCGCTCGGCGCTATCCGGCAACGGCCCATGCAATCGATTGTCCAGCTGACCAGCCACCTGACGACGGTCGGCCAGCCCGGCGACGGTCGGCGCCGGCCGGCTGGCCGACGAGCTCGACGTGCCAGTGTTCTGGCATGCCATTGTCAGTTGGTTTGGCTGCCCAGGTGGCCTGCCTAGCCAGTCAGCCCAGCGTCGCGGTGGCCTGGGTATCTCCGTGGTTCGTTGGTTCTCCCGGCTTCGGCGCTGCCCTCGTTGGCCCGCGCAGTCTCTAGACCCTCCCATTCTCTTAACCCACGTGCGTGTTTGGCTGTTCAAACGCTGGTCCGATGGCTTCATCCATTGTCGGCTTGTTCGCGCCGCCACTTGGCCTGCTCGGTGACCTGGCCGGCCTGGCTGCTTAGCCCGCAACGGGCCCGCGGCCGTCCGCTCGGCCGCGGGCCCGTCGCTCCGCCGTCACATGGCGCACCCGCCTGCCGTCGGGACCGGCACTTCTCCGCGGCCGGTCATCAGCTGCTCCGCTCTCAGCGGCCGCAGACGGCGGCTACCTGCACACCGTGTCCGAGACAATGGGGCGCCAGACGTCGCCGCGCCGGGCCCGGTCCGGCTCCGCCGTCCGCGCCCATTGGCTGGCGGGTCGGAGAAGCAGTCTGCGCTTCTGATGAACTGGTGCAAAGCATATCAACGCTCCGAGAGCCGTTCCTTGCGAAGGCTTCCAGTACATGATGGTCTTTAGACTGTCATCGCATAGTAAACTAACATTGTTAGGGGGGAGAGGGGAAAGGGGTACCAGCAATCATTTCTGGCGATGATTGTTTACAAAGGAGTGTCTATTCTGCGCAATCGGCGAAGCACCTACACGTGCTCTCATTATCGTATTTTTCGCGTTTTATTATATCCTTCGAAGTAGTTCAGGTTTCGCTTGCTACCGTACCGTTTCTAGTGTAACGGCCCGTCAGGAGCCGTTCCGCCAGCGGCCAGTTGGGAGGCGTTTGGGCCCGTGCCCCAGCCAGGACCGACGCGGCGCTCTCAGGCGGGGCCTTGACTCTCACGCTCGGTCGGTCAAGGAGGGAGGATCAGGCGGCACAATGGGGCGTCCCGACCCACCGCCGCCGGAGCGAGCCACCCGCTCCAACTAAGCTCCACAGAGGATGCCGGCTAATCCTCGGGCTGCCGACTTTGAGGGCCTCAGAAGGCCGGCCGAGGCGCGAGCGGGCGGCGGCCGCGGCCGGGGCCGACTTCCGCCCGACGCGTCGGACAGCGGCGCCGCAATGGCCCGAGCGAGCGGCCCGCTCTCCGCGGCACCCGATGGCGACTACCTCTCGCCGTCTGTTTGGAGTAGCTGCACGTAAAAACGGCCAGATAACCGTGTCCATTGTCCGCTCGTTTTCGGAGGCCCTGCCCGCCGTATAACTGTCAGCGCTGATTGATTGACGACATGGCCTGATGTGGCGCTGTCATGGCTCCTAATCGCCACAAAAAACGCCCCCGTCGCCAGCCCGGTGCCCGTGCAAGAGCCTGACCTCGGCGTCCGATCAAAGCGTGCCGCCCGCTACACCTCCACCCTGACGTCGCCGGATTGGGTGACGTCATAATCGGATGACGCCGCGCCACTGAGGCGACGGAGAGCTGGCCGGCCTGGGTCAGCCGCCAAATCGGGGCGAGCGGCGCACTAGGGGAGGGGGGGGGGAGGGGGACAGGCAAACACCCAATCAGGAAACGCATCAGAAACGATGGCACCCATGCTAGGCTGACGGCGAGAAGCGTGACAGCTTTACGAACTTTGCCGAGTTTGCGTCAGCGTCTGCGGAGATCTGCAGCGTCGCTTTCTTGCGATCATATTCATGGCGTGCTCAGTGGGCACTGAACTTTTCATAAATCTGCAGTTCGGCGGTTTGCAGCCTGATCCCGGTGCCTGCCGTCTGTCCGCCTGTTGTGTCGCATCACGCAGGCCGCGGTCCGCAGTCGGCGCTTCTTGCGCCGCCAGTCCAGAGTTCGTCGATCCGCCGGCTCACAGCCCGTCTGTGTGTAAATCCAGCGAGTGTGACTTCAGAGCTAACCTCACTGCCTGCCTCCACCCGTGTCATGATTTGCACCGTGCAGCACGATGCATGCGACTTCCACCGAGGAAATCCGATCGCCGCGGTTTGTCGAGACGTTCTCAAAGGCGATTAGCGCCGTAGAGCAGCGAGTAGCACTCGGTTCAAAGGCCGCCGGCCGGCGCGTGGGACCGGGAGTCAGCTGGCACCAGCGTCCCACAGCACAGCGGCCGGGAAGTGTTCGGAGCAGCGTCGTGCGCGCTGACAAAGTGGCCGGAGGAGCGTCGGGACAGTTACTTTGTCGTCGTGATGGATGTGCGCGGCGTTATCTGGCGTAAAACGCAGACAATATCGCCGGATAATGAGGGACCGCTAGAGGATTCACGGGCTACCCTAATCCTTCAGTTCGTCATTACCTTGTCACCCTGCGCGATTGATGTGCTGACTGAAATCACGCTCGATATAGCGATCGATATATACCCCGACAGGCTGGATGATTTGGGTCAAAAGTGAACACACTATTGGTGCTTTTATATTTGAAAAATCCTTGAGTTTGAGCGCCTCAATGGAGTTCTTGCCCTTCGCATCCTTGCGATTTTCCGTTGAGATGATAATCAAAGACGCCTGTCTCGCCACTCAAATAACACACCGATCATATAAACTGGTCAACGTGCTTCTCCAAGAGCCCCTGCAAGCGGCGCGACCGAATCCTAGACCCATCCGCAGCCAGCCACTAACTCGGCGGTCCCCCGCAGAAGGCCCAACTCGCTGACGTCACCGGGCGGGGGCGGCGGCGGCGACGAGGCCGGCCACCTGGCCAGCGACCAGGCGCGCTCCTCCGACGAGCCGGAGGACGACGACGAGGAGCGCATGCTCGACGTCGTCGGCGACCGCGCTTCGCCGGCGCCTCCACCGCTGCCAACGCTGCCGACGCTGCCGCCGGCGCCCGGCAGCCCGCCCCGGCCAGACACGCCACTCATCAAGCAAGGTGGGTGTGTTGACGGCGGAGGCGGCTATCGCGAGTGGGAGAGAGTCGATGGCCGACGGCTGGCTGGGGACGGGGCGGAGTGAGAGTCGGAGGCCCGGTGGATGAAAATAGTGCGAGATAATGCGCCAATAGTTTGCCGTACACATCGATACAATTGCATGTTAGCGCTGCAAATGCGCCATTAACATGTCCAGGTAGCATGCAAGAGGCATGCAAAGTACCTGCTACCGGGATGATAGTGTAGTAAGTGGCAAGAGTGCAGCGCGTGTTTCGTAAGCATATAAGTAACAGTTACCGCCATTAGATCGAGCTCCAGATTGTATAAACGCGATTAATTCACGAATATAAATACTAATGAGTTCTGACGGCCTGCCAGCCTCTACGAGAAAATTTTTCCATGCATACCTACAGCTCATTACATCCAGCATATTATGTACTTCACATCATAATTTGTCCATGTCAATCAGGAAATAGCCGGAGTGGACTTGAGAGTGTTTCCATGCCTGTCGTGCGCTATCATTTGATATCGCCTAAGATTGCGGAATGAAATTAGCCATTAGCATTGTAAGTTAGACTACCCTTACCAGTAATATGTCGTCATTAGCTAGAGAGATGACCCAACACGACAGGAACCAGCGCCGGTGTGTGGTCTCGCTCGTGAAGAGCACCTGGATCCTAAAAAAAACAAGTTGTCGTCTCCGAGGGCCTCGAGCGGGCCCAGAAACCAGTTTTGTGAGGAGAATGCGCCGTAGGCGGGCGTGTACAGTGTGCCGGCTCCTTTGTGATGCGCACTTCCCCCGTCTCACGCGCCGCGCTCCCCCACAGAGGCCAAGGAGGAGGTCAAACCCGAGCGGCCGCCGCCGCTCTCGTTCCGACCCTACGACGACAGCCCCAGCAAGAAGCGGTCGCTGACGGCCGAGCGGGAGCCGGAGCCGGAGCCGGAGCCTGAGCCAGAGCCGGAACCGGAGCCGGAGCCGGAGCCGGAGCCGGAGCCGGAGCGGCGGCGGGCGGACAGTGAGCGCGACAGTGACAGTGAACGGGACGGCAGTGACGCCGAGTGCGGCAGCGCGTTCCGGAGCGTGCGCTCGGAAGGGCCGCGCACCTCGGACGATGAGCGCCAGCCGAGCACGCACCCGAACGTGTCGGTCGGGCCGCCCATGCAGCCGCCGCACCTGCTGCCCTACCTGTACTCGCCCGGCCTCTACCCGCACCCAAGCATGGGTCTGCCGGGGCTCGGCCACCTGCTGCAGCAGAACGCGGCAGCCGCGGCAGCCGCCGCCGCCGCCGCCGCCGCCCAGACGTCGCTCCCGCTCAACCTGCTCGGCTCGGCCTCATCGCCGCTCACTTCCACGGCCGGCTCGTACCTGGGCGCGGCGCAGCTCAACCCCAACCTGCTGTTCAACGCGCACCTGGCGCTGGCCGCCTCGGGGCACTCGTTGTTCGCGCCCGGGTACGCGGGCCTGGCCGGCCTGGGCGCCGGCTCGCCGCCGGGCGCCGTGCACGCCGAGCGGCTGAAGGC